GATCACCATGAGCAAGAGAATTACACATTCCCGTAGGACCATGTCTGGGTACATAATAGCTCTGAAGACTATAGGGCACACTCCATTTCTCTCTTCTCCCCCAAGTCTATGCTGATGCAAACTCATATTAGTGTCAACAACATTCTAACCTGCACAGGCCCTATAGGATTTTATGGTGTGAAACCTCACATGTTCACCCAGCTTGTCTCCCTCAAAATGATGCCATTCCCTGACACCATACACCCCTGTTGGTAGAACAAGATACTGCCAGGTGAAATGAGAAAGGGAAGGCTTTTACTTTTAAAAAATTATTAAATTTGCAGATGTTAAGATTCTCAGCATACGTTCTTGATTGCCTTACTTTGGGGATTAGCTCTGGGAAGATCCTTTGCTTCTAAAGCTGAACAAAACAAAGAATGACCTCTTTTTTTTCTCTTCCAAATATGAAGGCTGTTTGCTTATGTGTGTGGGTGTGGGAACAGCATTACAGGTATGAGTTTAGGATATCAGGGTCTCTGAGTTCTACTGCTATCAGATGTCTATTCCCACCTTCACCTTTAGTAAATGTATTTTTTTGGGGGGGTCTTGTGCTTCTATGAAAGAAATACCTTCCCTTGAGGGTTCCGAAGGGTGGTGGGGAAATAACTGTGCTGAGATGTAGCTCTTGGCATCATGAAACAAAGGACAGGACTTCAAAACAGCTCTCCTTCTCTGAACCCAGGGCCTCTTTCCTCTTTGAGAGTCATATAAATGATGCTCCCTGCCCTTCACTGATAGCAGTGGATGAAGTAGATAGGCTGGCTTTGGCTGAGGTTCTCAAAATGTTTCCCTTGGATCATTTCTATTGAACCAGCTGGAGTATCTGTTATGGACCAGATCTCTGGCCTTTACCAAGAATCCATGATACAAAGGGTCTGGAGATGGGGTCTGGGCATCTCCATTTCAAACAGTTTTTTTTTTTTTAATACATAAATATTGGGAACAATTAGCCTATGGGCACATTTAGTGGGAAAAAGTTAGTTTCCTTTATTTTTATTATTCTATATATAGTTAATCAGATGCAACTAAAATTGTTCTCTCTTATATACAGTAATATGTAAACATTTCTAAGATTGTGGCTTTTCCAGAATGTCCTTAACCATTTTCTTTCTTCTATGCCTGCTTCTGAGTTTGGCCATTCTTTCCTATCTTTTTGGAGCAACTGCGCAGGTTTTAAAACCCAATAACTGGTACTCTTTCTACTAGCAACCACCTTAGCTGCTGTGGATGGATTCCACTCCACTTCCACTCCAAAGTGGAGGGATGTTATATCTCTGCTATTCTCTTGCCAGAGAATTAACTGGGTGTTACTGTGGCTGCACCTCTCAGTCAAGGTGAGTTCTAGGTATTGCATGTGTCATGTCACTTAATCTCTTCTAAGAGTGTAGTACTGGATGGATTTAGGATTTGGAGAATGTAGCACGATGGGAATGGCCACACATTCTCTGAGAAGTGGGGTCTTCACCCCTCTCCTTGAATTAGGGTAGGCTCTGTCATGCTCTCCAGGTCCCACATGGAGATGTGTTCCACCAAGGTGCTATATGAGAGAGTGAACCACTGTGTTCTCTCCAGATTAGCCGACAGCCCAGAAGGACCCCAGTAAAGGCCTTGTAGGGCAGACGGACTGCTCAGTCCAGCCCTGCCCGAAATCCTGACCCACAAAACCAAGAGACATAATAAAAGGGCTTTCTTTTAAACCTCTAAGTTTTGGGGGAGGTTTGTTATGTGGGGATGGATAACTAAATGTGTCTCTGTGGGGGTAACTTTGTTGCTATACCAGCTTACTCTCATCCATACATGGGGTTTTTGTTTTTACCTCTGAAGGAAGTAAGTCAGAAAGTCAGCAGCAATATTGGTATCAATAACCCAATGGAATAACATGCTTGCAAATACTCACCAGAAGAATATAAATTATGTACAACTTAAGAAAAGCATATGCTTTACTTAATGAACTCAGAACACTTTAAGGATTTTCTTGATTACTTAAAAAACATACTTCCCAGTATTTAGGAGTGAAATGAATATTAATTGAACTGAATCTATAATGGAGGAAACAGGCACTGAGATGTTAAACCAATTGCTCAGACTTTCACCATAGTGGGTCAGTAGCATGTTTATACTTATAACTAGATTCCACAGATCAATGGCTTTCAAATTTCTTTGATGGCAATTCATAGAAATAAATGTTTTACCTGAAACTGGGTACCCATATATAAACTTGAGCAAACTTCATGAAATGCTATTTACACCATTACATGTGATGCACTCTAAGATACTGTATATTTTCTTTTAAAAAATGCTGGTCAAACCTACCAAATCAATTTCATGACCCATTCATGGATTACATTCTATAGCATGAAAAACACTGCCCTAGACACTAAGCTTCCTGGGATCAGGGATTCTATCCTATTCATTGTGTACACAGGTGCTTAGAAATTTCTGGTGTATAGAAGGCATTCAAGCATTTAATGATTGAATGAATTTCATGAAGAGGTTCCAATGTATTAAAATGGGAAGGATACTAATCACAAATCAGAAAATCCATTGTCAGTGCTTGAATCCTTGTGTATCATTGAGAAGTGACGTCTCTTATTTCCTTGCTATAAAATAGAACTCGTGATATCCAGTATTCATGGGATAAAATGAGTCCACAAATATAAAACTATTGTGAGTAAAGGATAAAGAATTATAAGTAAAAAAATCAATGGATTTGTTACTTATACACTTTGAAATTGCCTAGAAACATGACAAAAGTACTTCACTTTGTTACTTTAATGCCCCTTAATTAATTTGGATTAATTAGAGGAAAGTCATGGGGACTCATGCATGAGGTCTAAATTTAGACTTTTTAAAAGATAAACAAATGGAATTTTACTGAGTAACAAAACAGTCCTAAAAAATGCTGGGCTGGTGACATCTATGTTGAAGTACTGGCTGGGCCGCTAGCAGATTAGACAGTGAGTGACAGCCGGAGCATGTCCGTGGTAGCTGCATCGCATTGTTTTTGTGTCAATGGATGTTTCTGAAATTCTGAGGCGAGACTTGATTGGGTAAAGTGCCTTTGTTACCTCTTCGGGAATTTATTAATTCCTAGACTTTGCATCAGAAAATGCCACCATTTCTAAATTACTGAGGTTTGGATGTATGAGATTTGAAAAAAATGTCTGTGAGAGACTTGGGGATTTTGATAACTTGTTTTAATAACAACCAAGAGTTCTAAGCTTTCAACAAGACTCTTTTCACCCAGAGGTAAATCATGCTGCACAGCCTAGGGTAATCTTTCTTTTGTTTGCCCTTGAAAGCCTACCACGTACCTCATCCATGGGAAATTTCCTGTTTGAAGCAGAACCATGCAGTGGTGTGCTTGGAGATTGGAGAAACTGTCTCTAAGTTCTGGTTCTGCCACTTTCAATATGTGTGACCTCGGATAGATTTCTTTATCTCCTAGAGTTGTGAGCATTAAATAAGCTATATCATGCGTGCACACATGTATGAAGTATTTAGCACAATGCCCAGCACAAAGGAAACGATAAATGATAGCTCCTCTTAGCTCCATTACTGTTTTTGTTTCTATTAGTTATTATTATTAGTTATATGCCAGCTTTTACCTGTCTGGATTAACTGTTATAGTTTGGCTGCTAGACAAGAGATTTGTTTGCTCAAGAAATAAGCAGGTTTCTTTAAGGGCCAAGGAAAATGATGTCACAGGTTTTACCAGGTCCTGGGACTCAGCCACTGTGACACCTGGAAATTGAGCTGAAAATAAATAAGGTGTCCATCTCTATAGCAGCTGAGACTGGGGAGGCGTGGTATACTCAGCGTGTCCCCGAAAGGTGCTGGCAGCTCTCAGTCTTCCCTTTGTTTGCTAGGGAAAGGACTGCACTGTAAAATTCTGTATGTTGTTGAAGAAACTGGGGCACTAATGCGATTGCTCACTCTGTGATACTGAGCTATTTTGAAGTTTTCTTTCTAATCGGCTTGGGGCAAAATTGTGAAGTAGTCATTTGTCTATGTCCCTTTCAGCCCTTCTCCCCCACACTCCCCTTCTTCATCCTTCTGTCAGTGAATTTCTCCTACTTCATACCACGGATTAGCTGAAAATGGCTTAAAAGGTTGTCCCCTTTAGGTACATTTGTGCTTTGGATGACTCTAAAGAATTAAATGATTCTCTAAGGATAGTTTCAGATATTTGCAGGCCAAGAGGAGAGAGAATTCTGATGGGGAGTTAGCCTGGTATCCTTCAGTTCACACCGCATTCTCAGCTGGTTGTCAGCTGAAAAAAACATTGTGTATTTGTAATAGGAGGTAGATCTAGTCCAAAGTTTCCAAGGTGTATTCCATGGGACGTGAGTTGGTTTTCTTGTGGTCAGATACTTTTAAGAAACTGTAAATAACAGAATGAAACAGGTTTCCTTGCTGTAGAGATTCTTAGAACCTTTATCATGCTCATGTCAAAGGAGGTACTTTGAACTTCCAAGTGGGTATTTAGGATGTTACATTTTCCATCTTATTTGCTTATTTTCCTCTTTTAATTTTTATGAAGCACCTTCAGCATTTATGTGACACAAAACACTTTATAGAGCACTTCCCAGACCACCTAAGGAAGGAAGCAGTAAAGTGATGTGCTCAAGGTTCACTATTGAACTGGTTGGACTAAAAATCTGGTTGTCTGAGCCCACAACGTCATTAGAAATCCCAGCTGTGGTCATGGATTTAATGGCTGTCATCTCAGCTAGACTGAATACGGGAACTTGCCCTCTTCCACTGGTCATTGTGTTGTTAGCACCCAGCACAGTACCTGGCACATAGTGATTAAACCAGCACTTTTTAAAACTGAATGAGATTGGTTATGGGGTGGACATGTGTTGTCTGTTTCTGTCTATGTCCACCGTTCCCCCTCCCAGCCTGCTCCCTACCACAGTGCTATGTTTGAAGGGGTCCGTGCCAAGCGTCATACTTACAGTGAGAATATGTGGTCCCAGTTCCACTGACACTGAACCTGTTCAAGTGCAGCCTGTGAGTGACCACATTCTTCTGGGGTTGAAACAAGATGATGTGCACCTTAGGTGCAAACAAACAGCCCAGGACCACGAAGCCACTCAGGCTAACAGAGATGCACATGGTCGTTGTCTGCACCTACAAGAAAAGGTTGCCTAGTTAAGTATCTTGACTATAAATTCAATACAGTGGTCAACTCAAGAGAATGCTAAAAAAAAGAGCCAACTGAAAAAACCAGATCATCTACAGTTCTGTTCTTATTCTGGCCAAACCAATACAGCACTTATGTTGAATCTTCTGAGCCTGGGATCCACAGGGAACCATTGCTGAGGATTTGTAAACAAACACTCTTTGTGATGGGTGTTCCTCAAGGCTTGCCAAGACTTCCCATGGACTTTCTTGTTTGGTTTGTTTTCTCCATTATATTTGTATAAAAGATACTTCTGCAGAGCCACTGAAGTCAGAATCTTAAGTAGTAAAATAACAGTACTAAGTGATGGAGTAACCCGATGTCTGATGGTTTGAGTTAATCAACTTGGTTTGTTTAAGGTTTACTATATTAAGAACAAATTTGATCCTGTTTCATATTTCTGTCTCTTTCATGCTGGGAGTGCTGCCTATCTGCTCTTGGTTTCCTTACTCAATCGTGGGGAACACTGTCAATTTTCTTCTAGGCACCTACTCTTAATCATTTCATTAGCATCTCTCTGGAATTTTGATACATCAGATACTCACTAGTCCATCTTTGTTTTCCCTTTCTTTCAAAGAAAGAATGTTCCCTTTATCCCTTTGCTGCCCCTGAAAGCAAACCTCAGAACTAGGTTTTATCATCTCTCTTCATTCTCTTGCCTCCACTCTTGATCATCTCTGATCTTCTCATTTGTCCTGGCTTCAGCTCCCATAGATTTTTCTGGAAAATCCCAAATTAGATTCTACATATTTAATCACTTTTAGTGTGAAAAATGGCAATTAATTATTTCTTCTATCAGTTTCTACCCAGAGTAGCTATGGTAAATCCTAGAGTCATTTTAGAGTTCTTTTTCCTTCCTCTTCAGGCGATGCTATTACCAGAAAGCAATAATTTCTCATGCCCCAAAGTGTCTGACCTTCTTCTATAATCAAGGAAAACTGAAGACTGAACAATTAACTAGAAGAGCCACATCGTTTTAGAAGATTTCTTTCTGTTTCTGATTTTTTAAAAATCAGGTTACATGTATTTCATAACTCTTCAGAATCTGGTTTTACTTTAATTGCTGAAAGTAAATCTCTCCTCACTGTCTTAAAGCTCCTGCTCCCCTGACCACTCCAGTGCTCTCCAAACTTGGTCCCCGATTTCAGGCTCCTTTAACTTCTCAGAAAAGTCTACTGTCTAATTCACGATCGAAAAGCCTTGATCAATCATAACTATGTTATTCATAGCAAGTCCATTACTACCACAATTTTTTTACATAGATATATAAAACATGTTATTAGAACTGTGTTCTTCCTGCCTCGGATCTGACTGTGGTGCCAGTATGAGAGGGATCAGTTTTCCCCGACGGTGAGACAGGTTCAAATGTGCTCATTTTCCAAACCTTTTCTAAAAACACCTCTATAAATTTGAAACTCATCACATGTTTTAAGACATTACAAGGAGAAGAGGAGGAAGGCTTTTGTGAGAAGAGCTTGCATAAAGTTGTACTGTGAATTCCATATCCTCTCTACTATAGGGGGATTGTACCCATCTCCTCACTGAAAGTCTAAAGAAATGGGCATCGGTGTGGCCGTTCACAGAAGGTTTGACATTTTTTCTGTGGAGGGAAGATGTTCTGCCTGGGAGCCTGATTCCTAAGTGAGAAATGGCCGTTACTTTTGTACCACAGTAAGGAGACTGGCGAGTGTGTTGAAATAACCCTTTAAGAATTTATCAAAGCAGAGGCTATGTGAGTGGGATGCTGGACAAGATGAGCCATGGGATAGAGAACCATCGGGGGGAATCTAGGGCCCATGTGGTGGGGCCTGGAGTCTTTCCCAGGATGGGAAGGAGGCTGGAGGGAGAACAGCTGGATGTTCTGGGCCTAAGTGTGACAACTTAGAGTAGAAAATTGCCAGCCAACTCACTCAAGGACCTGCAGGGAAAAAAAACAGCAGGAAATTTCTGATAATCACATGAAGACATCCTTTAATCATCTTCCAGATTATCCCAAGGATGTGTCTTTAGCCACTGGGGACTCAAAGATCATAAAGCCATCCTGTTACATAAGAACTTCTTCTACTTCTTCCTTGTTACTCTTTAACCAGAGCTGAGGGGAAACAGCAACTGGTGGACTGGGAACTATGAGCTGGGAGAAAGGGGAAACTGACTGCTATAGCTCTAAGGCAGGCTGGACTGCAGGAGAGAATAAGGTTGAATGTTAAGTCATGATATGGTTTTGATAATTACATGGACAAGGCATTTGAATTCCTAGTAGACTATTTCCCACTGAAAATTATTGTAGGACCTTATGTTACCTAAGGGCGCACAAATCCATGGACCTCTGGAGCATTGTCACCTGTTGTTCTGTCCCAACACTAACATGGTGTCTTACATGGTGAACACCCTGTGTTTTGATTCTACCCACTGGGATTTCCATCCAGTGCTGGGGTGTGATTACTCTCACTCACTACTAAGGGAACAATGAGAGGCAAAACTAAAGGTGCATTTTGGTCACAGTTTATGCTGCAAAATTAAAAGATACCTTTTAATTTTTTTTCAAAACCCAAGTATCAGCCTCATAGTTTCAGTTGCCCAATTCCTTCTATAAATCACACTATAAAAAGTCTGCATTTACATATAGTTATTTCTCCTGCATCTTTGAACATTCCCAGTTCACGCTGCTCTGTTTTCATCTTCCTCAAGCTCCTAGCAACACCTGACGTGGTTAACCACTTCCTGGATACATCCTTCCCTCACTGACAGTTCCTCATCTGAGTTTCCTTTGCTAACTTTTTTCTCTTCTACCTGAGCTCTAAGTGCTGGAGTGTCTCAGAACTCAGTTTTGGACACTCTTTCCTTCACCATCTCATTGAGTTCCAGGGTATAAGTACTTCCTGTGTGGATGATATTCACATATGTAGTACTAGTTCCAACTTATCCTCTGGGCTTCCAGACCTATACACTCAACCGCCATCTTGGCATATCGTGGATATGTAGTAGGCAAATCGGAATGAATCTGTAATCAGAACTTGATCCTCTCTTTCAAGTGTCTCCATTTAAGTGTCACCAAATGCCACCGAACTGTGCAGCCCCAAACCTGAGAGTCATCCTTAATTTTTCCATTTCCCTTACACCCACACTTCCAGTCCAATAGCAAGTTCTGTTTGTTCTTTTGGAAGATAATCCTCTACAATCTCTTGGGCTTCTATATCTTTCAAGCAGCAGCTCTGACTGCCTTTGTTCTGGACTTTCTTTTCAAGGGATTTTTATTGCAAAGAGCCTTAGGAGATGGAGATAGTGCCTGTGAAACAAGGGACCAGCATATCATCCATTAGAGAAGACTCAGGTTCCCTGATCTCAGAGTTCCTCCAGGTAATGCCACCACTGACTATGCAGTAGTCACAGCCTCCTTCGCCTAGCCTTCAGGAAGTAGGGCTCAGGGAACCAGAGCCAGTGCTAAACTCCCGGCTACTGCTATTACTTTGAGTTATAAAGTCCTTTTTGTCAGTGTCCACAAAACTGTGGCAGGCTAGCATGGTAAGTTAGAATAAGTTGAGTAAAATCCAGACTTTATGGTCTTTGACAGCTGTGACAGTGAGATTGGAAAGGTTTTCTCAAAGAGGAAATGTGGGCTGATTAACAGGCCTCGAGAGAAGTCCAGAGAATCTACAGCAAACAGGTTGAACAAACTATGTGGTCATCCAGGCAATAAAGAGTGCTCTACTTTATTGCCATCGATGAAGAAGATTTGAGGGATGGGATCGCAGGCTGAGTAACAGGGAGTGGGTTTAGATAGAGCTGCTGCACCAGTGCTGAAATTGTTGCTAACTCTCCTCTGGGCATGGGGTGGATTTCCTCCCTATCCTGATTCAGGTCCTTGATGGGCAGAAAGTTCCACTCTTTTTCACATAAAAGATGCAGGGACATGTGACTACGCTGACCATGAGAAGAGAATCCTTGCAGAGACCAGGTGAATCATTTGGACTTTGCCTGCCTCCCCCGGAAGATGAGAGAGGCAGGTGCCTAGAGCTTGTGAAGGCGGCATGGCAACAGCTGACCCCTTATGGCTCATCCCCTGCTGTAGTCTCTCTTGCCAAACTCAGATCCATTCCAAGATGACCAAGGTCTCAGTTTTTTTACAGTGGGAGCCTTGGCCGAAAAGGAGCTTTGGTCCTCTCTGAGATTTCCCTGAAACAGAGTAACGCTTTGGAAGACCATAGATGAGGCACTGACTAGTATTTGGGCTTTTACTGACCTGCAGTGGGTTTAAAATGCTGACAAACGTGCTACACCAAAGAATGAGAAACTGATGTGAGGAAATCTAGAGAGATTCTTACAGTCAGCTGCAGTGCTGGAACACTTGCGAGCTCTACGCTAAAACCAGGCAAGACACTAAGCGATATCATCGTGTTGAGATAGCAAATGCCCTGAGCCGAGGTGGACGCCTTTAAAAATGTTGCTGTCTGTGTGAGTCACTGCCGAGTAAGCTGAAATACACAAGCGATATTCCCTGGGCAGATCCTGGCTCTGGCCTCTTGAGTTAAGGGGTCCCCAAAGTTGAATAGTGACAGTAATGATCTTGCCATTCATTTCACGGTTTCGGGTGCTCATAAACATTCGATCTTCATTCAGTTGAACCATGCATAGCTCTACATGCTTGAAACACACAGCAAATGTGCTTTCCTTCCTGGCATGCAGATTTGCCTGCTACCTGGTTCCTCCCTTACTCTCCATCCTGACTGCAGCTGCCTTAAGAAGACAGGAAGGATAGGATGAAAGTCTCCCCATCCCCAAGGGTAGCTGCCAGCTATATGCATCGGACCCAGTGTGCTGGGAAACTCTGGGGAGGTAAGAACTCAAATATCTATGCTCTGTTGGTTACAAACAACCAAGTTACCATCCTACCCAGACCTGTTAGGGAGAAGTTAGGGCTGGGATCAGAATGAGACAAGTGAGGGAGGCA